GAGACGAGAAGGCATCGCCCGCTGCACGCTGTATTTGAGACTGGAGAAGAACTGTTCCTTGGAAAATGCGGCGGTCAAGGCGATGGCGGTGGAGGTAACCTCGTCATTACGCCCTTGGCCAAGAACATTCGTACGAAAGCTTAACAACCCGAATCGGACATGTGCGATTTAGAAGATGTGGCTCAATCCCAGCTCTAACAATCTTCGTTGTCTACACACCAAAATCGAGCTACGAAAAGAAAAAAAGCTGGAAGACCTCTATATGGATCTCACGAGGCTCTTCGTTCTTCGGCGTTGACCACCCTTTCTACAAAATCATCGTCGGTGATTACAACGCCCTGGACAAGCAGATGAAGGGCTAAATATGCTTACGGAACAAAATGCATTTTTTTCTTTTTTGTAAATTGGCCAATCCAATCCATGTGTTTTTCCAGCCGTTCTTTTAGACCCAATCTTGAAAATACTCCTGCATATAGTCAAAAAATCCTAATGAAAAAATCCAAAACACTGGCTGATGTTCCACTGTGGCTGATGTAGATTGCAGATTGCAAAGGCCATGCAGATCCAAGGTGCCTCCGGCCATAGAGCTACAGGTCCGAAAGAGAGCGACATCTCGTTAGAGCAATGCTTCTTACGATAACGTTGCTCCGTTTGAGAAACTGTAAGAGTAACCAATATTGCAGAAGGATACAGTTAGGAAGATTGTCCGTTCTTCCTCTACCCACAAAAAAAAACTACCTCGCGCTTTGGTCAACACACAAATCCCTCCTACGGCAAGCATAACTGAAATAGGGGCATAGATGAACGCAGAAGCCATAGTGAGAAAATGCTAACTGATATTATTTGGCCGCAGTACGAGATGCGAAAGTCAAGTTTGGGGAGTTATGGACAAAACTTCGTCCTGGGACGTGACTCAAACCCACACTTATGCTATTCGGGCACTGTGCTCTTATCCATTACACTACAGAATCTCCGCTTGCCCAAGCCTCCTTAAAGGCATAGTTCACGATAACTTTGAGGTACCAGCTTCTATTCGAAAAGCGGAAATATAGAATGAGAGTAGTTCATCGGTAGTGAAGGAAGCGAGAGAATCCGCCGATTTCGAGAAAAATATGGCTCCTCAAAAGTAGGGAAAATAGGGTTGGACGAGATTGCCATGACGGACATATCATGGAAGGGGTATTCGGACGAGGTTTCAGTTAATGCAATTGCACAAAGAGCTGAATACATCAAGCCAGAACAGCAGAGAACTGTCTTTCACTGTCGCTATGGGACATGACCAGTAGTTTGAATTTCCTACATGGGTTCCCCTGTAATGGTGCAGCCTCTGCAATGCCAGTGATACTCGTCCGATGATACACACGATACAATCTTTGAGCCTTCATAACTCCGTAAATAGGCTGTTTTCCGACCTAATAGTGCCAGATGTGGTATACGCGGGGGCCTCAAATTCATCCTGAGAGGGAATCTCAGAAAACATTTTTATCGTGAACTGTGCCTCTAAGCCATCAATGCGAGCGGGGTTTCGGTAGTGTAATGGATAAAAGCACGATGCCTGGATAGCACAAGCTCGAGTTCGAGCCCGTCCGAGGCTGAAGTTATGTCCCTAAGTACGGGCACTCGGCTCTTATAATCATCCGGCACGGCATAACCCCATTTTACTACGCACACAAATCAGAAAGTTTCTCGGATTCACCTTGATCAATCTACCAACTTCCTTGAGAACTAGTCAGACTGTCTCTAATTCAGCCAAAATGCAGTGTTTTCGGGTTACCCAGACATAAATATGTTGGAATTGTATGTTACATAGGTAGCTTATCTGCTTAAATCTTAAATCTGAATTGCAGTAACAGCGTCCTCTGATCGTGGGAGACCGTGCATGCGGACGAGCTTCTCCTCTTTGAAATGTCCGAATGAATCCTTTAGACCATAGAAGATTGATGACAGACCGTTATCTACGCGATCGAGCGTCCCTTCTCGGAATGGTCGTGGAAACTCGAGAACTGATGAAAAACAGTCGGATGGAGCGGAAAAGCCAATTCCACAACCAACTGCTTTGAGGGTATGCCTTTCCACGGCCTTTTCATTGATTACAGACAGGGGCGGAAACTCCCAACAAGACCAGCGGCTCAGGGTTGCAGCTTATGAAGGGCAGGATTGCACAAGTCAGATCTTGGGATCCTGTGGACGTGGGGTAATCTGTAATTCTATATATCCAATAGATTCGTCAAAACTATCCCACAATTAAGTATANCCCCCCCCCCCCCCAATGCCACATTTTCCGGCCCGTGTACCTCGCCCAAGGTATCTTTTTGCTGCCTTGCATAACGGGACGGGTGTTTGGAGTTTTTTTTTTTTTTCGTGGTTACGGTATAACACATTCACGGGACTTCGAAGTCGCCCTTTTTAAAATTACAAGGTAGTATAAACATTGTCAGTGTAGTGAAGTGCGCTTACCGTAACCCAATCACCTTCGCGGTCCGAAAAGACATTACGACTCTCTGGCGGTTAATGACAGTTCTGGGGCCAGTTTGGGTTTTGATGTAAACTCAACAGTATTCAGCCCTTTGAGAGTGTCGGCAGGTGCAAAATTCGAAAATCTCGCCCATTTCCTGAACCGAAGCGGGGCGGATAGGTGTTGGGTGGCGGTATAACTGGAAGAAGACCTACTCCTGCGGGACGGACGAGTAATCCGCACTCGATTGAGGCTGCTACTCGAAGCTTTCACGGAACATTGGACTGGTTGGTACCAACGTATCTGCAACCCCAATTCTTGAAACCCTTCAGCGGCCACTCATCTGCTGCCAAATTTCCCGAGCACACGAAGTCCATCCCATCCCATTTCACTGCCCCTCCAATGACTGTGACACATTCGCATGTGCACATCTCCCACTACTGTCATTCAGGCGTCCTTAATGTGATGCCAATGAAAGTTTCGGGCATTTCGGCCATTCGGCGACCGCTTCGTCCTTTCATCTGCGCCGCCGCGGCATCCCTTTGAAGCGGTTGCGAGCGCTTGCGTCGCGGCGTCGGCGACTTCAAAGCATCGCCGCAAGGGCGTCGCGGCTCTCTCAGCCGGCCATTATCCCCACGTCAGGCCGCCGCCGTCATTTCCCATCCCCGCAACCGACAAGTTCACATCCAACAACTCCCACACTTCGTTTCTACACCGTCCGTGACTTTCTGTTGTCGCCGACTGCAATTCCTGACTGAAGCTTTGCCAAGCTCCTGTGCATAGTCGTTCGTTCTTGTGCTTTGCTGTGCTGGTTTCTTTACTCGGCATTCACCGACGTCTTATTGTTTGTAGTGATAAGGCAAAAGGTCAGCCAGCCTGTTCATGGACCACTCAACATCATCTCCACCTGACAGGGCGCTCTGACAACATTTGCATTCAATATATGGTCGGAATGATTGCTGGTAAGCCAAAAGGCCCAGGTAATTGCTACATAGAAAACTGGTTATCTCACCAATAGGCTATCTCAGAAACACCTGATTCCAATCAAAAGGTGCTTGAGATGTGTTCACTTCTTTTCGGCACTTTGATGGCATTTCTTCCGTGTAATCTGGGACATTACTGGGTCTCGGAAAGTTGCATAAAACGATTTTGCAAATTCTGGAAATTGGTGAAGGGCTGATTCATCTTGATCTTTTAGAAGAAGCAATTCGAAAAGTAATTTATTTCTTGTCATAAATAGGTTTTAGAGGTGGCAGGAAGAACTACTTTGTTTTTAAGTCTTTTAATTGTTGGTGCTACTGTAAGGGCTTGGCAATTACCTTAAAACGAGATGCTCCTGTGGTTTAGATGACCTTCACTCTCTCTTTTCACTCCGTAAAGTTCAGAAAAGGTGGATCCAAGCAATTTTGAAACTAAAAAAAGCTAGACACTTTCTCTACCAAAGAGTTGCAATATTGGCTCAAATGACCTCGGAAATGTTAATAATTTGTTAAAGGTAATCCTCGTTTGGAATGATAGATATTATGGGGTGTGGAGATATTTGATCGAGTAACTTCATAAAATTGATTCTATCCTTCTCCGAAGAAGGCGGATTCGCCATAACGTGAGTCATTAAGGTATTGTGACCCTCGTATGAAGTTATACCAGTAAAGTTATTTCGACAGTATGCCGAGGTTTATGAGAGTCACACGTGGAGGTTGTTAAAGAATCCATAGAATGTTTTCCTGACTGATTTACAGCAAAATGTTCGAAATATCATTTGCGCTTTGTTAACAAGGTTCGCGGTTTCCTTTTATCGCGCTAATGTAAGGCATATTTTTAGTATTTATTGCCTAGTCGTAGTCAACTTTGAAGGTGAGCAATGACTGACTGATTTCAATTTCACTGTACTAATGGTAAGTCGAAGCCTGTTTCGACAATTTTCTATTCAAGGTGATCACGGTGTATTTGTTACTGAAAAGGGTTAATATTACTTCTTTATGGTCATAAGCGTGGTTGAGTGATTTATTCCTCTAGAATCAAACCACTAATACATTACTTCAGAGCACCGTTTCAGCTCTCCATTATGATTTGTGAACAATTCCTTGGACTGAAGTTTCTAGGAATGGACATATTAGTTAGGTTAACTTGATCTTTACCTTTATTAGGGTCTAGCTTGATGTTGTCTTGAATGAATTGGCATTGCTTCTGCAAATCTTTTCTTCGTTTTCCTTTTTTTGCTACTTTTTTCGTCTTGAATCTTGGTTTTGAGCCTTATTGTACTGCTCCCATTTGTGATTCTTTCCTACTGAACATCGCTCACTTCGCCTTATTGGGTTTTATTTTTATCAGCGTTATTTTTTTATTTGATTCTCGTGAACATTGCCGCCTTCTTCTGATTGATTTGTAGTCTGATTTTGCAAATGTAAAAGGGCTTTCAATATGCCTTCTCACCACTCGAGGCTTTGATCGATTGATCAGCAACGCTTCGGAGTTTTTCATTTTTCAGGATGCCTACGGAGTGGGAACGGCCCCATATGCGGTGGACACTACGGCTCGAGTACGTTCTGTCAGACCGAACTGCACTCGATGCTTTCCGTGACTGGCTCGTCGCCAATTCCAATCCTCAGGTATTTTTGTTCTCACTAAGGCTACTTTCTTTCTTACTGATCACGAGGGAATCAGTAAGTAGTTCTGCAACTCATGTAGACGGAGATGGTACCCTGTAATTTTTGCGGAGAGGTCGTAAATGATACGCGATCATATGCTTTACGTGGTGTCTTTTAAAACACATGCATACTTGCATACTCACTAGTTACTAATTATTATCCTTTGCGCCTTCCCATCGATAGCTAAGCGCAGTGCCCAAGATAATTGAAGCGCGATATAGTGGTTTTGGATGAACTTGAAGGGATTCGGCCAGTAATACTCGAAACCACTTTTTTTGTTGAGTTCAAGGGGTTTCCGAAGTTTCTAATGTGAAAACTTCGGAAACATGGCAAGGTGATGGTCAATTGAAGGCGCTGTTCAAAGTCCGCATTCTGAGCTTTCTTAGGCAAAAATCGCTCAATAAAATATTCAAATCCATAATGTAATGCATGCAATACTTCGCGTATTTCTATAGAAACGCACATGTGTCCATTTATGCCAGCTTTGATATCCTTTTCGCTGATCATAAATGCTTCTACGTGTCGAACAAATGAATGTATGAATGATTTGGCAATATCGTTCACAATGCCCACTTTTGTCGCTAATTCATATAACATTTTATAGCCTCTGGAGCTGCATTTCGCAGTACTTGCGTACGATCGAATGTCAGCTCAACGAAACGCCCAAACTGCCGAATTGGCTCGATCGATCTATCAGAAATATATATCCCTTCGAACGGCATCGTGTTGTTTCAACTTTATCCCTCACAAAATTCGACAAGAGGTAATCATCTTTTGGCATTGTGCCAGAAAAGTCATGACAATTTCCGTTTATTTTCCAAGAGTTTTTATTTGTAAAACCTTCAGTCAAATTTATAGCACCAGGTCATTTTAAAGTTCTTTTTCTTTTGATTGGCGGAACAGAACCATTAACATCTATAAAAAATGCTGTAAAATCTGTAATTATCCACGGAACCACTCATGTTTTTTTTTTAAATCGAAGGCATTACCAACACTATAAATAATTGTAACAGTGGCGTTGAATCTCGGAACTTTCCGTAGTAACAAGGTGCAGTAACTTCCTCGATAAACAATTTTAAATATGTAATGAAGTTTTATGTAATCGACTTTATGTAATCTAAGCTATATCAGCCTGTACTTTTAATATTGTAACCAAATTTTTCTGAACCCGCTCAGTTGTGCCTCAGTGAACTATTTGAATTCATAGGCACAAAAATTCAGGACAGGAGCACCCTCGTAACCTTACCTTATTGATAAGATGCCTTGGACGCAGAACTGACACAACCTTTTTTCGATACGCTTGACCTAATGGCGCAGCGATGTTTATGTTTATATGTAGTGGCCATCCTTCTTCGCTTGTTACGCGCGCGCCCCTGCGATTGTGCACCTGTACGGCCCAGCACGTGCTTTGCCCAAGGTCCATTTTTGCTGCGTCATCTATGTGAAGGGTGGTTGAAGCGTCTTAGCTTTGCTCCATCGAAGTGATGAATTTTCAGCATCGCAGTCAGCACCGCGCATGCGACGCGCGTGGTATAATCGACGGTACACATAAATGCCATCTGCCGCCACATACACCACCCATCAAAAGAACGTCTCAGGCGGGCAAACCGTATAAGGTGCTTTGTGCCACCTGCTTTATTGCCACATACCAAGCTCTCGCTTGCGTACGAACATCTAGATTACTGTATAAGTCGAGTATCTGTCCAGAATGTCTGTGCTTCTTTTGCATTCGAATGCGATCTTAACTTTTTCAGATCGGCATACGTTTGAAGTCGACGGGCTCCGGTTTTCCTGACCCTCGACTCTTCGCTGGTGTATTGCCTTATCTTGACTCTTTCCTTCGTCAGCAGCACGAGCAATTTGTTTGTTCCGAAGAGTTTCTGGAGGCATTTAATAGGGTATGTGGTTATTTTGCTGACTTCTCATTTTCGTTCATTGAACAAGCTATCGTGGTTTCTGATCCCTTTTAATTCTTCTGAGAAAAAAAAATGCTGAGTTCAATGTATTCTAACAAAGAAGAATGGTGAGAGGTGAGGAAGTACGGTAGGTTCTGTCAAAAATGGTCGGGTCAAGACCTCGCTCAATAATACTTTTGTGATTTAAGCTGAACGAGAGTAGGTCTGTAATTGCGACGCTTGCTAGATTACCTGTCTTAGGTAAACATGAGTGGAGAAGATTCTGGCGATACACCATCAGAACGACGTCGATCTGCTACGAGTTCAAAAAAACCTCAACTCACTGCGGAAACTTTGATGAAGTCGAGACATGACCGAGAGCACGTTTTGGGGGAAAGGTTAGGCAACTTTTTTGCTTTAATTAGTTGAATGGGTTCGGCCGAAATATCTTGGTTACATTTTTCCTCTTTTTCTTTTTTTTTCTTGCAAATTTGAATCTGTAGTCACGCTAACTAGACTTCAAAATTAAGCTGAGGCTAACAGATACCTTGTGAAGATTCCTCAAAGCCATATTTCTCGTTTTAGTTCGCTAGAAAAGATGTACCCTACATCGAGTATGCCCCGTCCTTATGTATGCCACGCGACAACCAGTCAAAATGACAGCGCCGTTTCGTCGTCATTCTCATCGGACGCCAACGGACATAGGCCCACAAGGTTCGAGCGATGGGTTTTTGAGTGGAGGCCATTCTAATAGTGACCTTGCCATCGTGCAGTTTATTCAGATTGCGCAGCATTCGAGAGGAACACCTACGTGGGAACCCCACGACATTTGCTATTCCGGTTTGTCTTTCTGTCGCTTATTTGACGCTGAAGAATACGCTTTATTGCATGCTACTCGTACTTGTTCCGCATCGATTGTGACATGATTCGGATTTCAGCGTGTTGAACATCACTCAAAAGGTGACACTATGCAGTTCGATCATAACACCGATGAAGGTACATCGTTGACAACATTAAAGCGCTTGAACAATATTTCAAAGACATATTTCTTTTTCTTATAGAATTTTTCGCTTCTTCAGGGCGACGAACGTTTGCTGCTGTTCTTTGTAAGAAGCTGAGTCGGTTACAAGCAAGACGTGAACGAAACGACGAAACTGAGCGGCAACTAAGAGCCATTGAAGACAGAAAGTGCACGGTCAGTCTTTGATGTCATTCGTTAAGTGTGAAAAAAGTTCTTTTGTTAAAGTGCCGCCTTTGTGATTTTTCAGACCCGTGAGCTGATTACGACTTCTGCAGCTGTTCATGATGTTGCATGTGATGATGACGAAGACGTGGAGTGTTATTTGGAGCGAATGCGAGAGGATAGCCTAAAAGCCTCTGCCAATCGCTCTCCGCGGCTCAATGCTCTCTCACCAAGTATGTGATCTTCCGTTGCAAGGCTTATTGAATCATGATACATTGATGGTCCAAATGGTTGATGGTTTTCATGGAACAACGTGTGCTGGCATTGAAAATTATCGTTTGTTATGTACAGCAAACGATTTAGCGAACAGTCACCATACTATTTTGGGCAGCGCCCGGCTTTTAGTGCCTGTTTAGAGGTAGAACGGTGTCAGGTGATGATGAGTTTGGTATCATTCAGCTGGTTTTGCTGCACGTAACCCGATAAGCAGCCAATCATGCCGCGTCCTTTTTATATTCAATTCCGCATATAAAATCAATTTGGATTCACTCTATAAAATGTGCCGGAGGAGAGCTTGAGTTAAGCCGGGAACTGCCAAAATCAGTTTCATTATTTAGGCAGCGAGTTTCATAAAACTGCACGTCTGCAACACATTTGCGTCTGTTTATGCTCATAACGGAAGCTTCAGGCTCTTTCCCATGTGTTTTTGTTTCAGGCAGTCTCTTCTCCCCGTGGGAATGTGCATTATGACTCATTATGACTGAGTATCATATAGCTCCTAACCAAAAGTTTTACAGGGCCATTTTCTCCTGAACACTTGAAATCTGGTTGTGGTACAGCTGGAAGCAACACTATGGGAGTTATGTCGATGTCGATGTCGGCTTACCCACGTTCAGCGAATCAGTTTGCTCCACCACCCTTGCCTAATACATTTAACACCTCTGGAGTTTATTATAAGGAGCCAAGGTGAAAGATTCATTTTGATACCATCCGGTTACCATCTAGTTTCGAGTCGCTGGCTTTTCAGGAATCCAAACCAAACAGCTCCGATTTATGATTCTTCTGGAGTGGAGTCAATGGCACCATCGGCATTCTCAGATATATCGAGAGGTTCGCGACGAATGCCAATGATTCCACCTGGATTATGCACTCCTCGAAAAGCCCGCCGGTCCCTTCCGTCCGCAGGACAACAGCTAATGACCATATCCTACAAAGGCAAGCGAGCATGTCTTAAATCAGTTCCAGCAGCTGCATAAAGTTGTCCGGCCGTTCTTTACAGTTGACAATAATGAAACTTAAGGTGTTGATGGGGTACCTGTAGTAGCGCATGTACCGGTTCCACAGGCTGGATTGACATTGAAGGAGTTTCGTCGGCATTTCTCCATCTCGTCTCACTCTAATGTGCAGTGAGTCGATAACTTTGCCATATCGATAGGATTTTCTTAATACTTCAGGAGGCAAAATTTCTGGGCTGTTCAGGTTCTTTTTCAAAACAACATGCGAGGATGGTTCTGCTCCATATCAGCTTCTTTTGGTAAACGACGATTCAGCCTGTCTTCCTGTATTCGAAGGAAAAATAACAGCTGAACTGAAAAGAATATCACCAGAATAGGTAGTTCGTAGGGTGGGGTGATGAAAAGTCTGGATTGTGCATTTCTCGCCTCTCATTAGCTGCCCATTTAGTGGATCTCGGTTGAATGCTGTTTTTAGTGGTTTTCGTATAAGCTAGGTAATTTGATTTATCAGAAAAGTTCTTTTGTTCTACATGTTCTAGAAGCCTTATTCGCTTGCCTAACGAACGCTTGCACTTACCTAACTACTTGCCAATCCTTTATCTATTATTAAAATATTTTTTGAGTGCCTATGCTGCCGTAAGCATCGTATGTCAATTTACTAGGTTTTTCTCGATTTTGGGCAGCTTCGATACTCACCTAAACATTTTCCCTTCATTTCTTTTCACGTGTATACCTCCACTATCCGAGTGGTTTTCTATTGAGACAATGGTTTTGCTCCCCTTTTTCCTGCTCATCAGTTTACAGCTCAAGTGCCAAACGTTGCGTTTAAAATGCATTATTATCGAATGATAAAGTATTTATCTTTAGGCATGATTTACGCGCTCCAAATCAACTGTTTGTCTTTAACAGGGTGTTTTTCGAAGGAATAGGTTGGTCAATAAGAGACGCTACATTGTTGGCATTGCTGCCAAAACGTTGATCTTCTTTAGAATTCCTGTTCTTCCCTCGCGTAATGCCAAAAACGGTGATCTATTGCCGTCATTTTTAGAGCGTCTTCTGCATTCGAATAACGCCTAAGTTATGAAGGGGACGAAACTTATAAAAATCTGTAGTTCACTGCACTGATGTTGAATAGGACTGATCGCATATGCACGGATTCCGTGTCAGGGCTACAAGGAGTGCTTTCATAGTCCAACGCGAACGTTGTTCCAACTAACGAGCGACAGCGTTGCAAGCTACGCGTGGACAGGGTGGACAGGTAGCGTACAGGGCCGCATGAGCGGTATCGATCGGTGTCTGGCGTTGTCATCGCGGTTAGTCGGTAGGTCGTGGGTTGAAACAACGCACATCCTTGAACTGTGGAAGCACCCAAACAGGGAAGGTTCAGAAATTAGTGTTTTTCTGTGACCCTTTATTTGTTGGCATTATTTTGAATAGTTGGGCTTCTTCGTGAGTCTGAGGTCATCTTTAAGTCACTTAATGCTTCCTGTAGCTTTGCACCATCTCGACCGTGCAGAGACGGGGAAATAGGGGTAATGCACAGTTCACGATAATTTTGGGTAATCCAGATTATGATGAAAAATGGAAGACAAGATCGAAACTAGTGCGACTGAGGTGAAGA